ATGAATTAAGGTATTTACTGCTTTGGCACATTCCAAAGCCATTTTCCCCTGCCTTTGACAGTCTCATTTTCACATCAAAAGCTATGAATAGGACACATCCAGTCTATTTAATTAACATGAATCCTACAACTGACAGGTATCTGCTTTTGCTGTTATATATATCTTGGATTCTGTTATTTCCACTCCAATCCATCTGATGAAGTGGGGTTTACCTCCTCTATATATATCCTCAATATATTTTGGTTAGTCTCTAAGGTGCCACAGGATGGCTCATTTTTTAAAATTACAGATTAACCTGGCTACCCCCTTTGAGACCTCTTCTTAAAAGAATGTCATTTTAATTCACAGATGCTACTGCATTATCTGTAAATTAAATCTCAGACCACCACACCAACAACTTTTTCAATACCAAACATTTTGGTATTTCTTTTAATTGTTTTATTTGTCATTTTTAACACTTTAGGTCTTGCAAATGGCTCCAGAATACAAAAGTGTTTTAAAAGGAAGCAACAAAAAGGTATTTTGCAAAGGAAGCAATATAGTTCAGTAAAAAATGCATCAGGGCTGAAGTGTTATGTTGGTTTTTTCCTCCACATAAGCAAGCGTAAACACTACTGCACCCCGTTTTCGTGGTTTGCATAAACGTACAGCTTTAGCTGTACAGGAAAGCAGTAAAGGTGGGGGAAATTTTTTCCATCTTTACTCAGGCAGGATGTAGAACCAAAAAAGTAATAAGCTAATTTGTGCTTAAACATCTTACAAACATAGAATAGCAGCAATTAAATTTTGTTTTATCAACAAAGAAGTAAAGTCTTAAGCTTTGCTAATATCACCACTTCCCAGTTCCATTTAAATCCCAAACACCACCTAAAACAAAATCACACTTTAACTGTTTCATCTCAACTAACTTTTTCTCTTCTGCCCAGAAACCAGTTATCATCTCTAATATCTTCAAAACTGTCAAACAAGAGAGTTTTTTTCCTAAAAACTCAAAAATAATTGTTAAAATAAGCCTTATTTAATACTATACATTTCAAATACTTTAATTTTTTGCTTTTCTTTCTATTTAGTATTTTGGCAAACATTTTTTATTTTTTATTAAACAATTTTTCTATACTAAACTTTGTATAACAGTGGTTAATTTTAAACAATAAATGCATTATATTTACACCTTTAACCCATATAGTCCATCTAAATTAATACAACAGTACTATAGGGATAAGGGTAATTATGATAAGAGTTCTCTTCAGTTCTTGTCATCTACTAAGTGTAGGGGAAAGAAGTAACGGGCCGAATTTGTAGCAACAGAGATTTATGTATTAGGGAAAAATTAATTATTAGGATAGTTAAGTGCTAGAACAGGTTATCTAGGAAAGTTTTAGTTTTATCTAGGAAAGTTTTAGAATCTTCATCACTGAAGAATTTTAAGAACAGATTAGACAGATATTTGTCAGGGACATTTGTTTACTTATCTTGCCTTGGCATGCGAAGGCTAGACTAGACAGTCTCTTGAAGTTCCTTTTAGTTGTCCATTCATGATTTATGTGATCTCTTTTTCAAGGCATTATTTGACATAATTTTTAAATAGTGCCACTAGTAAACCATGCTGTAATTAATGCCATGCATGTTGTTATCAGTTACAGCCCCTTATTCTTACAGTTTCCCTTTTGGCTATAAAATTTACTCCAGGCTGAGCACTCTTCATGTTTCAACCCCCATAAGTTATCTGTTTGGATTTTAGACTTAATTCTGAAGGGACAAAAAAATATATTCAAAAAATCCTTCAGTGTCTTACTCATGGACTCATGCTTCCATTGTATTGCCAGGCACCCAAAACTGAAAGTTCCTAGACACTGCGGCATCAATAGGAGTCTTATAGGGACCTCTCAGTTAGTTCTTCAGGCTGCTTCCTGCATTCTAAATTCATTTTCCTTTTGACTGCAGTAGATAAGTAACTGCTAAGACCTCAGAATGCTTTGGCGATCACTCAAGCTTGTGGTGTTTTTCTCAAGCTTCACATCTTTCTACATCATCCATGTCCTTTCTGGATCAGTTTTCTGTTTGTTTTTGGTTTTTTGCTCTTAAGTAATCTTTCTTTTTGGTTGATATACTTCTTCCTTAAGGCGGTGTCTGGTTGCATTGGATGGGTATTTCAGTAAGGAATTGGGACTTTTTTATTCCTCATTTTCACTGTGCCCATTTTGCAGAGACAAGTTTAATCACAGGTAGACTAGCCCTTTAGCCTGGACTACTTAGTCTGGAACTTCTTGGGAACTGAGAGCCTGACCAAATCCAGACACAGAACTGCCTACTGTAGTAGTCGGTGTCAGTGCTTGGCTTATGTTCTGTTGAAACCTATCTTACTATAACTCATACTCACCAAATAAATGTCATGTCTTCTGAAATGCTGCACTTAGCCTGGGTTGAGCATATCGCCTTATTGCAATTCCAGTTGGTACTATGGAAGCAGCTGCCCTGATTTGCACAGTTCATTCCAAATGCACCTGAAAAAAGCCCAGGGAAACCCAAATTTTTCAGGAGAGGGTAAGAGAATGAACTGAATGCAAATAGGGGAAGGGAGCAAAAGTGTTCTTCGCTAACCATCACTGACTAGTCCTTCCTTCACTACACTGCCAGAATAGACTATCAACCTTACCCCTTTCTGGTCCATCTTAGAGAACAAAAATATAAATCTACCTAACAGCCTTCCTATCATGACCTATTTACTAGGGCAAAGTCTAATGTTAATGTAAGTCTTTCATAAAGCAGCCTATAATAGTATTCTGGCTCAAGAGTGCTGACTTGTTTATGAACCTTCTCAATTAGGCATAATGTCTGAAAGAAAGAGGATACCATCTGGCTTTCCTCATACCATTTGGATGTCCAATGGATAATAAGGTTTCAGCCCTTAAGAGTCATAATTGATTTGTATGCCCACTGCTAATTCTCTGTAATGCAACATTGTACCTCAGGGGTTGTATTCTTATTCCTCCAGGTCAGGATCTGAATCACAAACTATTGGTCTCTTCTTCCTACTCTTTCTGCAAACCACACCATCCTACACTGAGGTTTTGTGGAAATTCCAAATGTCACCTCTGACACCTTTTGACACTAATTGCCCTTTTATTTTTGCCCCCAAATGACACACAAATTCACCTTCGCTAGTTTGGTTGGCAGTAATGTGTTCTAGTAGACTGTTCATGGTGGTAGACACCACATGGTTTATTAAAGTATGGCGTGTGGCTCTGAGTAAGTTACTTAACCTCTCTGTTTCCTCATTTATAAAGTGGAAATAAAAATAATCCTGTGACCCTTTCTACTGCACTGTACAGCATGATAGGAAAAACCAAGTGAGTTTCTTGAGAATACACATCAAGCTATGGTGTCAGAAAAATAGGATTCATCTCTGAGCCTATCTTTCTTCTTCAAGTGCTTGCTCATGTGCATTTGAATTAGGTGTGCACGCATATTGGTGCATAAATACCCCTGCTGGTCCTCCCCTTCCTCAGTTCCTTCTTACCGCCTGTGATGGTAGCAGGAGCATCTTCACCATTCCGACATCGTACCCAGTGTCTATATAGTTACCTTTGTAGCAAGTTTGTTTTGAAGTGTAAATAGTTTAGCAGTTAGTATTACTGTATTGCTCATCTCTTCCCTCCGGGGGAGAGGGATGCCGGGTCTGCAAGGTTTCAAACCTTGTGCGACTTGTGCTAAGCCTATGTCCTGCGGAAACCCCCCACGACTCTTGTCTAAAGTGTCTGGGGGAGGGCTACCTTGCAGACTCTTGTAAAATCTGCAGACGTTTCAAGCCCCGCACTAAGAGGGAACGTGATTCCTGACTAAAGCTGCTCCTTATAGTGTCTGAGCTGCAGCCAGCGTCGGAAAGGGCACCAGCGGTGAGGAGCACACTGGTGGTGGTGAGGAGCGCACCGGTGGCGGTGAACTAATCCTCCACGGCACCGGCATGCACACCTCAGCACCACAGAAGACTGCAGCACCAAGTCACTGATCTTATTCTCTGGTGCCAAAGAAGAGGAGGCAGCATAGAGGAAGATCTTCTCTGAAGCAGGGGCATGGAGGCGACACTGAGACTGAGCCCCATTGGAAGGCTCGCTCCCTTGGCACCTAGATGCTCCCGGTCCCTCTAGGCATCGGTTGAGCTGGGTGTAGTCAAGGAATCTGGTTCCAAAGAGGAGACTCTAAGAGGTCAGGCCATTGACCCCTGAGACCTTTGACACTGAGGGGGAGCTTACAGAGCTCACTACCTCGCCGGTCTCTTCCCCCGGGCCACGGGAGGCCAGACACTCAACGCAGATGAGCCATCTGGCCTCAGCACTAGGTACATCCTCAGCACCGACGATAGTGTCGATGTCGGTAGTGTCTGCAGAAGAGTTGACCACTTCAGCACCGGAACTGCCGGCACTAGGAGAAGGAAGGCATTGACGGCACTGAATAATAGTGCACCTGTCCAGCTAGCACAGGCCACTCCACCCCCGGTACCTCCGGCTCAGATTCACTGAGGTAAATGTGAGTCAATGGTGTGGCCCTGGCACCTTTCACCTGCACCTTCATCGGCACGTGGAATTGGTGTGATCATGTGCTTCTTCACACAGGTCCTCCCTGCAGCACTGTTCCCACTTGTGGCCCCCATACCAGCATTGGGGTACCAGGCCCGGCAGATGGGGCTGCCTCCACTGCAGCCACAGTGGCCCTTCTGGGTCTACCATCAAATGTAAGGCCCAATGCCATCAGCCCAGGGATTCCCGGTTGTCACATTCCTTCTGCAACCCCCCTGTCCAGAGTCCCCGCCTTGGACTATAGAGGGACACGCCATTATCCTCAGGCAGAGGGAGAGGGGTTGGGAGCTCAGGACTAGGCTCAGTCCCTATTGACCTCAAATGTGGCAGTGCCACCCCAGGACCAGCCCAAAATAAGGGAGTCCTTGTCATCCTCCCCCGAAGAGGCACTGGCTGGGAGTGCAGGCGAAGGTTGTTAGTGAGGTTTCCTGTCCCATGGTGGACATTTTGTCTGCAGATGCACCACCGAGGCTGGCATTGCCACTTAATAAGATGGTGTCTAAAATTGCCAATAATTTGTGGCAGACATCAGCATCAATCCCGCCTACCCAGAAAGGGGCTGAGAGGCGTTATTTTGTACCCCAGATGAGGCATAAGCATTTATACTCCCGCCTGGCCCCAAGTTCTCTAGTAAAGCAGGCAGACAGGAAGAAGGGAGAGGCAGGGTCAACCAGGGCCTACCACAAAGATCAGGGACTCGAAAAAACTGGAACTTCTGGGTAGGAAGGCGTATGCTACGGGAGGCCTTCAGCTGCACATTGCCAACCAGCAGGCTACGTACAACACCTGGTTGGCTGTAGACAAGTTTAAAGAATGCCTGTCTCAAGACTCCTACCAGAAGTTTGCGGTACTGACAGAGGAGAGTAGGGTCATCTCATGTACTGCGTTGCTGGATGCAGTGGACTTGGCAGCACACACAATGACCATGGGCATTGTGATGCGTGGGCGGGGGGGCTGGTTGCAGGGCTCTGGTATACCTCCTGACGTGCAGAATACACTGCAGGACTTGCCGTTTGAAGGGACAGAGCTATTCTCACAGCACACAGATGCCAGACTACGTAGTCTGAAGGACCCCAGAGCCATCCTTAGGTCTCTGGGAATTCACACCCCAGCCCTGCAAAGGCAGTCCTAAAATCCTAGACTGCATGTGAGGGCCTCCTACCAAGACTACAGGTCCAGCCAAGCAAGATGCCAGCCTAGAAATAATGGCAGCAATAATGCCAGTGGGTGTAATAGGAGGTGCAGGTCTCACTCAGACTCAGAGGGCAGAGGTGGGCTGCCCCCACCTCAGCAGCCCAAGTCCTTGTATAGAAGGTATGCGTGAGGAAACAATACCAGTTCTGGTTTTAGACCTCTCCCCGTCCCCTTTGGGGACAGGCTTTCCCATTTTTACCAGGCTTGGGCCCACATTACAACCAACAGATGAGTTCAGAGTAAGGATGTTACAAATCTATCATAGCTATCATCTCTGGAAAATCATGGGAGACAGGAGAGATTCCAGAAGACTGGAAAAGAGCAAATATAGTGTCCATTTATAAAAAGGGAAATAAGAACAACCCAGGAAACTAGAGACCAGTTAGTTTAACTTCTGTGCCAGGGAAGATAATGGAGCAAGTAATTAAGGAAATCATCTGCAAATACTTGGAAGGTGGTAAGGTGGAAGGGACAGCCAGCATGGATTTGTAAAGAACAAATCCTGTCAAACCAATCTGATAACTTTCTTTGATAGGATAACGAGTCTTGTGGATAAGGGAGAAGCGGTGGATGTGGTATACCTAGACTGTAGTAAGGCATTGATACAGTCTTGCATGATATTCTTATAAATAAACAAGGCAAATACAACTCAGATGGGGCTACTATAAGGTGGGTGCATAACTCGCTGGATAATCGTACTCAGAGAGTAGTTATTAATGGTTCTCAATCCTGCTGGAAAGGTATAACAAGTGGGATTCCGCAGGGGTCTATTTTGGGACCGGCTCTGTTCAATATCTTCATCAACGATTTAGATATTGGCATAGAAAGTACGCTTATTAAGTTTGCAGATGATACCAAGCTGGGAGGGGTTGCAACTGCTTTGGAGGATAGGGTCATAATTCCAAATGATCTGGACAAATTGAAGAAATGGTCTTAGGTAAACAGGATGAAGTTTAATAAACACAAATGCAAAGTGCTCCACTTAGGAAGGAACTATCAGTTTCACACATACGGAATGGGAAGCGACTGTCTAGGAAGGAGTATGGCAGAAAGAGATGTAGAGGTAATAGTGGACCACAAGCTAAATATGAGTCAACAGTATGATTCTGTTGCAAAAAAAAAGTAAACTTGATTCTGGGATGCATTAACAGGTGTGTTGTGAGCAACATATGAGAAGTCATTCTTCCGCTCTACTCTGTGCTGGTTAGGCCTTAGTTGAAGTATTGTGTCCAGTTCTGGGCACCGCATTTCAAGAAATATGTGGAGAAATTGGAGAGGGTCTGGAGAAGAGCAACAAGAATGATTAACGGTCTAGAGAACGTGATCTGTGAAGGAAGGATGAAAAAATTGGGTTTGTTTAGTCTGGAAAAGAGAAGATTGAGGGGGGACATGATAGCAGTTTTCAGGTGTCTAAAAGTGTGTCATAAGGAGGAGGGAGAAAACTTGTTCATCTTGGCCTCTGCGGATAGAACAAGAAGCAATGGGCTTAAACTACAGCAAGGGAGGTTTAGGTTGGACGTTAGGAAAAAGTTCCTAACTGTCAGGGTGGTTAAACACTGGAAAAAATTGCCCAGGGAAGTTGTGGAATCTCTATCTCTGGAGATACTTAAGAGTAGGTTACATAAATGTCAATCAGGGATGGTCTAGACAGTACTTGGTCCTGCCATGAGGGCAGATGACTGAAATCATTGACCTCTTGAGGTCCCTTCCAGTCCTAGTATTCTATGATTCTATATTAATTTGATATACTGTTTCACAAGTCAATAGGCACTTCTGCTTTCCTCCTTTGAAATGTACAAGAGCTCCAATGGGGGCTGTTGTGCATTTCAAAATTGGAAATGCATGTGTAGCCTTGGGCCAGCGGGAAGTCCCGTGGACTTTGGGCTCCACGTGGGTGCTTCCACTTGGAAATGCACAAGAGTCCGAGGACTCTTGTGTATTTCAAAGTGGAAATGCACGCATGGAGCCTGGAGTCAGTGAGAGACTGAGTCCCCTGCTGATCCTGGGCTCCATGCACTACCATTTTGAAATGCTGTGCCGAACCCAAGGTCAGCTGGGGATTTTCCCGCTGACTCTGGATTCCATACAACATTTTTGTGGATCCCGGAGTCAGCTGAGGACTCCCGAGCTGACTCCAGGTTTCTTGGAAATGGCACACGGAACCTGGGGTCAGCTAGGAAGTCCCCAGATGACCCCAGGATCCATGCGTCACAGCCCCTTTGAAATGCCATCATTGTGTTTCAAAGTGGCAGCGCCACACGGAGCCCATACCCTGAGCTCCATGCGATGGTGTCACTTTTGAAGTGTCCTCCTTTTCCTCCCCCCTTTGCTACCTCTATCTGATAGAAGCAGTAAGGGCTGGGGGGAGCAACTAGTCCTTAATATCTTCAGTTCTGAGCCTGGTGGCAGTGAGGTATTCTGTCCTCTTCCGTTCCCTGCCACCCTCCCACCCACCATACCTATCCCTCTTTAGGGTCCCCTCTCACGAGCATCTTTTGAATCAAGAGGTGTTTTCACTCCTGCAGCGGGATGCGGTGGAAAGGGTTCCTCAAGGTTTCAAGGGAAAAGGGTTTTATTCCCATTACTTCCTTATCCTCAAGTCAAAGGGAGGCCTCAGACATATTTTGGACCTAAGGAATCTGAATGCCTTAATAACGAAGGAAGATTCAGGACGGTCACACTAGCCTCTATTATTCCCTCCCTGGAGAAAGGGGACTGGTATGCTGCCCTCGATTTGAAAGACGCATATTTTCACATTTTGATAAGGCCTGCCCACAGGTGGTTTCTCAGGTTTACTGTCGGGCAGGAATACTTCCAGTTTTCAGTCCTCCCTTTTTGGGCTTTTCACAGCATCAGGGCTTTTCACAAAGTGTATGGCCGCTGTATCTGCTTTCCTGAGGAGGTACAGAGTTCAGGTATTCCCCTATATGGACAATTGGTTCATCGGGGCTCATTGAAGGAACAGGTGTTGTTGCAACACATAGACCTCATCCAAAGTCTGTTCCGCAGGCTGGGTCTCCTAGTAAACAAGGAGAAATCTATCCTGGTATCCAGTCAAGTAATAGAATTTGAAGATTCCTGCTTTTACTTGAGTATAGCCATGGCCTCTCTTCCCAAGAGCAGGTTCCTAGCTATGGGTCTCATCATACGATCACGATGGTGAGGAACTGTATGAAACTACATGGTCGTATGGTGGCTTGCATCTACGTGGTTTGACATGCCCGGTTGAGGCTCAGACCTCTACAAGCTCGGTTGGCCTAGGCGTTCAGTCAGGTGCGTGCTCTGTATGATTCGATTCTCACAGTTCACCAAGAGGTCATCCAGTCCCTTGAATGGTGGATGTGGGAGGACGTGGTATGTACGGCAGTCCCTTTCATGAGCTAGAGCCCAACAATGCGGCTTGTCACCATGTCGGACACAGGATGGGGAGCACATCCGTGTGACTGTTGGACCCAAGGAATGTGGTCCCCCAAGAAGCGGGAGCTCCACATAAATGTCGGGGAGCTCAGGGCGGTCAGGCTGGCCTGCCTGGTATTCCTGTTCAGCCTAAGGCACCAAGTGGTCTCGGTCCTGATGGACAATATGGCAGCAACGTTCTATATCAACAGGCAGGGTGGAGCTCACTCCTCTCTCCTATGCCACAAAGCCCTACTCCTTTGGGAGTTCTGTATAGGCTGCCTACCTACCAGAGTACAGGAATCTCCTTGCTGACACGCTCAACCACATTTTCACAACACACAAGTGGTCCCTCAAGGGTGAGGTACTGGAGGAGATCTTCCAGAGGTGTGGTCATCCCCATATGGACCTCTTTGCCTCTCACAGGAATAGGAAGTGTCAGGACTACTGTTTTTAACAGGGGCAGGGACCAGGGTCCAGAGGGGATGTGTTATTGACCGATTGGTCCCCAGTCCTTCTCTATGTATTCCCGCCTTCCCCGATACACAAAGTCCTCATCAGGATAAAGAGGCTGAAGGCCGTGGTCATTCTGATAGTGCCAGAGTGGCCCTGGCAATACTGGTTCCCTATCCAGCTCAACATGACACAGTGGGAACCCATAGTCCTACTCATGATGCCAGATCTGATCACCCAAGACCTGGAGGCGGGACAGCTATGTCACCCAAATCTGCCATCTGTCCATTTGGCGGCATGGTATATCCATGGCTGATGGAAGCAGAGCAAGCGTTCTCAGAAGGGGTTAGCAGGATCCTGTTAGAAAGTTGGAAGCCCTCCATTAGGTCAGCTTACTCGGCCAAGTGGAGACATTTTTCTGAATGGGTGTTACAGAAGGGAGTGCATCCTTTGCAGGCACCCATCCCAGTGATCCTCAACTATCTCCTGCACTTCAGACAGATGGGCCTTTCTACATCCTCCCTTAGGATACACCTAGCAGCTGTAGTAGCCTTTTACCCAGGGGAAGGGACCAGATCTGTGTTTGCGAACCCAGTGGTCAAGAGGTTCCTCGGAGGGGTGAACAGGCTGTTCCCTCATGTCAGGCAAGCCTCTGTTGACGTCAGTCTTGAGCTCACTAGACTTGTGTGCCCTCCCTTTGAACCGTTGGCTACGTGCTCCCTTAAGCACCTGTTGTACAAGGTGGCCTTCATAGTGGCGATCACATCGGCTGGGAGGGTTTCGGAGTTGAGAGCACTAACAGTTGACCCTTCCTATACAATCTTTTCAGCAGACAGGGTGCAACTACAACCCTATCCGGCCTTCCTCCCTAATGTCATCTCTATGTTCCATATATGGCAGGACATTTACCAACCTGTGTTCTTCCCAAAGCCCCATGCAACCCCTAGGGAATGGGCCTTGCACTCGCTGGACGTGAAGCATGCTCTGGCGTTTTACATAGATAAGACAAGAGAGTTTTAGATCACCACAGCTCTATTACAATAACGGAAAGGATGGGCATGCCAGTGTCAGCACAGTGTTTGTCATCTTGGATCACTTCCTCTATTAGAGAATGTTATGACCTGGCGGGTAAGGTGCCGCCACGCATCATGGCTCACTCCACTCGTGTGCACACTTCGTCAGTAGCCTTCCTGGTGCAGGTTCCCATACTGGATATCTGCAGGGCAGCCACATGGTTGTCAGTGCACACGTTCACTGCGCACTATGAAAATGCCCACCAAGCTAGGATGCTGCTCTGGGCACTGCAGTGTTACAGTCAGTCTTAGTTTAACCTGTACTGGTCTCCGACCCCGCCTCCAATGGTTTTTGGTAGGGAGTCACCTAATTGGAATGCACACGAGCAAGCACTTGAAGAAGAAAAAACAGTTACTTACCTGTAACTGTTCTTTTGAGATGTGTTGCTCAT